TTATATATATTTATGAGAATGTAAATGTGGATGTGTAAAATGGAGTTATTATTGTTTTTAGTTATTATTTTAGAAAAGTTTGAAATTGGTGTATTCATTTTTTTGGATGCTTTTGTTTTTTTGGTTAAGCAAATGCAAATGCCAGTTTTAGTTTTTTAATTTTTTTCTTTTTTTATGTGAATGTGTGTGTATGTTTTACATATACAAACAATCTTATATACTAAAGAGAAAAAATAATAATAATAGGAGTTATATTGTTAAGTTTACACAGAGTTTGGTATTTTGTTTATGTGATACAAACATTATTATTATTATGATATACCGCAACCAAAAATTAATTAAAAATTATTATTTTTGTTATTTTTTAGATTAATTATGCTATTTATAATAGTTGTTGTTTTATAACATTAGTTAGCCTAAGAAACTAAATTAGTCTTTGTTTTTGGTTTTTTAAGTATTATTAAACAAATGAAAATTATTATTTTTAATGACATTTATAAGTGCCTCGGTAGATATTATTAGAAACGAAATAATAAAAAATAAACACTGCACACTTGGTTAAGCATTATTTGTAAATACATATTATATAGAAAGGATAATTAAATGTTGAAATATTGGAGGCTCAGTAAAAAATTACTGATTTAATTGTTTCATTATTAAATTATTAAAGATTTTTTAAATAATTAATATATATAATTACAAATTAATTATTTAATGATAAATTGTTAAAAATTAATTATAAATATATTTATAATAAATACATTATTTTTTTTTATTAATAGTTATATAATTAACTACAAATATATATTTTTTAATTTATATGATTTTATTTGCAAAAAAAAATTGAACCTGAGCCTCTAATATTACCATATTTAAATATACTTCTATTATTACGTATGTAGAAGATTATGGTCCTCTAATAAATATTTTTTGGTCATTACCCATAGAATTTAAGCAGGCCTTGGGGGGATTGCGTTGAGGTCCATCGTTGAAGTGTGTGTTTCTGCTTTACCAGAATCCAGAATGTCCAATATTTTTCTTTGCTTGAATTCTTAGGGAATATAATTTTATGTGGAGGGTGGTGGTTGGGAAATAAATAGAAAACATTTACAGTCCAATTCATAAAGATTTTTTTTTACTAATAAAAACATTTTAAATATAAAATAGCTCATTTTAATATTAGGTTTCATAATTTTCCAAGTTAATTTTAAATTAAAAAATAATTTATTGCCGAATTTATGGATTTATTTTTAACAATTTTTGGGCAGTGAGAAATTTTTGAAATAAATACTAATTTTCTATACAGAGGTCTAAACATGTAGGCATTTTTCTGTGTGTAAAAATGTAATAGAAACAACAGTTGTATCTTCCCTCCTTCAAAATACTACACATCCAAAGCCCGAGAATCTAAAAACTTATATCCAAATCTGTAGATTAATTGTCTATCTTAAGGACAATTATCTACAGTTGAAGTCAAAAGCGAATTGATTAAAATGTACTAAAGATTTGTTAAATTATTTCAAAAATCTATGACTGAAAAACTGAGATTTACTTACAAAGGAATCTTGAATTTATTTTTAATTTGGAACACACCAACTAAAATAGTTCTTTGGAGGATCCTGAAAATTGTTTTTTTTTTATTAACATCCTAAGTAAAAAAGTGTCAGTGGGTTTTGCCGGCAAATATACAACCTCAGCCTACGGTTTGCGGAGTTTTTCGGAATTGCACACAGGTTTTATTATTCGCTTTATGTGAGGTATATTCTTATTGTAATCAAAGAGATTTCGGATTATTGAATTTGATTTTGAATTAATTTAAAAATTTATATAATATTAATCCATTGTGGAGTACCTGAAGGAGACGACCAGAGACGACTAGAGATAAAAGGTTGGGCAAGGTTTGTTTCAGATTGGTCATTTCTTTTGCCTGATATTGGATCTATAAATATCAACAAATTTTGGACCATTTGTTGGGGATGTACCAGAAGGAGAGGACCAATGGAGACCTATCATAGAACTTGTGGCTAAAGATAAAAGGTTGGACGAAGTATGATTCAAATCAGACATTCCATTTGACTCGTATTGGATTTATAAATATTAAAAAAGAAGAAGAAGAGGATCAGTGGGTACTATCATCGAAATTGATCTAGGCTTGGTAAAGATAATAGGTTATACAAAGTTTGGTACAAATCGGATAGCCCGGTCCATGTTATTCTAAAATTAATTTGTTTGCACAATTTTGACCATTTTGTGGGGTAGGTACCAGAAGTAGTGGACCGATATTCCCCATCTTCGAACTTGAACTAAGTGTGGAAGAAATATTACGATGTTCTAATTTTGGATGAATCCGGTTACTCTTTTCGAGTTATCGTGAGCACCAGACGGACATTTGTAAATCGACTCCAAATTGTCTCAAACGGATTTGGTCCAAAGAAACATGGGATCTAAAGTCAATATTTCGATGAGGCACATTGTTGGCATATCAAAGGGTATATACGCTCTTTAGCCATAAGGTGGATGAGGGTATAAAAATGTTGTGATAGGACATGGAACTCAATAAAATTTTAGAATACATTGGAACCAAAAAGATAATATTTTCCTATACTAGCGAAAGTCCATTTTCTAAATCTATGACCAAAAATCGATTGGGGTAAAAGTTGGCTATCTATAAGATTGAAAATCACATTAAAAAATGTTTGGAGCAAATAAAGACAATTTTTCCAAAACTTATTGGAAGTAAATTTCCAAAATCTATGACACTGATTTAGCTAAAAATTTTTTTTAAATAAAATATTCAAAATCTGAAAAAATTGGTAGGTTCCATTAAAAAAAAACTTTTTTCTAAAAATCCCCTGCAGACTGATGGAAGCAAATAAAGATAGTTTTTCATACATGCTTTAAAGTACCTTTCATGGGACTATGCAGTCCTCTTGAAATTTCCTGATGACCTAAAATAGTATTTCCAAAATCTATAAGTTAAAGAAGACTGGATTTTCCTTTTCAAAGTATTGTTGGGTCGAGATCTATTGATTGCAGCAAAATCAATCATCCACAGGTGATTGGGATTGGAGTTCTCTTACATGAAGACGACTATTGTTTTACAGTTAAAGCCAAATTTATTTCTTTTCAAATGTCCCTTCCATAGAATTGTTGGGTCGAGGGCTTTGGATTGCAACCAAATAAAAATGTAGCAAAAATATGATTTGAGTAGGTTCTCAATATGCTTTTTTATAAACTCCCTGGACATAATATTTAAAAATTCTCACAACTAAAAGAGTTCCAAACAAAGATGTTTGGGCTTGAATATTAATTTTCAAGGGATTTTTTAGGGTCCTAGGAACAAGATATGATAATTATTTTCTATAAAGATTTTGGTTACAGTTCTGAGAAATACTTTTTCCCTTGGCTGTGGGGCATCAATCGAACTACCTTAATTGTCGGGCATAATTTTATAATTTCTTAACAAAAGTTAAATATTAACATGAATATAGTTTTAAAAACATATACAAAATTAAAAATTTTAAACATGTAAAAATGACTTATAAAAATTAAAATATTTCAAATTCATATTTTTACATAAATATAATTTGTTACATAGTTTTTTTTAATATTTGTTTTTTATAAGTTTCAAATATTATTTTTATATAATTTTTTAACTTTTAATTTTACAAAAAGTGTATTTTTTGAAATCTTTTTATAAATTGGACTGTAGTTGTTTTAAATATTTTGTCTGTTCTCATCAGAAAAAATCATTGACCTTTATTTATATATTTTTTTCTTTAAATAATAATTACTTTTCACTAAGTGTACATAAAAAACAACTTATCATGGCTAATATTTTGTTTGTGTGTGTGTGGGTAATCTTTTTAAAAACAAATTCTTTATATAATGCATATAAAAATACAGAGATTTCTCTATTTTAAAAATGTAAAAACATCACACGTACTCATATAAAACAATGCTACATTGCCGTTTATATATACGGTGAGTTTTATTTTTTATAATTTTATAATAAAATATTTATGTTTATATATAAAAAACAAAGGCATTTACAAGGTAGAAAAAAATATTGCTTAAACTTAACTAGAATTTTTTTATATAACTATAAATACAAACATTTTGTTTTTGTTTTTTAAGTTTTTTTCTTCACTTCACTTGGATAGTAGTTGTTGTTGTGGTTGTTCTTGTTGTTGTTGTTTTGTTGATAATATATATATGATGATGGGATAGTTTGATTGTTGTTGGATTTGTTGTCTGTTTGTTTATTCAAATATCACTTAACAAAAACATTTTTTTTTTCTTTGCAAAGGCACAAGTCAACATCTAAAACAATTGTAATTCATATCTATTTTTTTTGTTCAACAATAGTTTTACTTAAGAAAAGAAAGGAAATCACTGGGTTTCAATTTTTTTACAAGAAGAAATATAAGTGTTTTTTTCATAACTTAAATCTACAATTCTTTAAATAGTAATAATAAAAAAATAAATATATATGTATATAGAGAAAAAACACAACTAACCTGTTTAAGCTGTAATTAATAAAATTTCTTTTTGTTTGGAAAAAGGAAAAACTTTTTCAGACAGTAAAAAAGGCGAATTTGCGCACATCAGATATCAGAGCAGAGAGAGAGACATATTACATACAGACATAGAGAAGGGGGGCACAGGGGCCCCAGCTTTTGGAGGGCTCATCACTACCATTTTAACAACAGTTACTTATTTATTTAAAAAACAAAATTAATTTTGGTTGTAGTTGAAAACTTAATTTTAAAAAATATATTTGTAAAAAAATATATGATTTTTTTCTAAAAAAAATAAAAATTTGTTCGTTTGCCACACTGTTTTTTTTACTTATAAAAAAATTAAAAAAAAATTATATAATTTTTTCGATTAACTTAATTTTTTTTTACTTCTCTGCTTTTTGTGTGTGTAGTAGTAAGGCATAAATTATTTGTTTTATTAATTTTTGATTTAAAATGTTTAAACTAATTTCTTTTTTGTTTGTTTGTTTTATTGGATTTCGATAAAGCCCGGCTTTGCTGGGACCCCAACTGCTGCTCTCTGATAAGGATGATCACGAGTAGCCGCCAAACGTCGTGGTTTAATGGCTCCTACTAAAATAATACATATACACAACATTATTATTTTTTTATATATAGAAAATATTACACAATTTTTGTTTTTTGGATAAATATATAAAAATATTAAAAATAAATATAAATTTAACAATAATAAAAATTTGAAAAACAATGTTTGTTTTTTTGTTTTGTTTTCTTTGCTACTCAGAGAAGTAATTTAAAAAAAAAAAATATTTGGGATGGGAGAATTGATAGTGGAAAAACAAATTCGTTTATAGGCGGCTTTTTCTTTAAATATTTTTTTTCTTCTTTGGAATGAAACGGATTTCATTAATATTTTAATTTTTTTTTAATTATACAATATGAGCTTCATATGGATAACAATATAAAAATAAGAAATTTTAAATTTAAATTTTAAAAATTAAAAAAAACCAATTGATAATAAAAAAATATAAAAAATTTTTTTAATTAACAAAATATTTCTCAATAAAAAACTTTATATCTTTCAATAAAAAATAAAAAAATAAATGATATAAAATTCAAATTTATTTTTAGAATTAAAATATTTTCAATAAAAAATAAATATTTTCAATACAAAATTAAATATTTTCAACAAAAATTAAATATTTCCAATAAAAAATTAAATATTTTCAATAAAAAATCAAATATTTTCAATAAAAAAATAAATATTTGTTATATTATATTTGTTACCTATATTAAGCCCACATTATATTTGTAAAAAAATAATTTTTATTTTTTTCTAAAACTAAAAAAGGGAACATTTTTTCTTGCAATAAAAAAATAATTAAAATTTAAAAAATATATATATTTTTAATATTATTTAAAACTACACCTACTTAAATAATAAACTACTGTCCTATTATGGTTTAATTTTTTTTTAATATCATTTAAGATTTTCCTGTTTTATTTTGTTTGGCGTGACTAGTGTTAAATATTGCGCTGATAATTATGGCGGTTTCAATGAACAAAATATTCAATAAAAATCATTTATATTGGACGGCTGTATGAGAACGGGAGAATAAATAGAAAAATATACATTTATTTTTTAAGAAACAAAGAAATTATATATAATTGCACTATTTTATAAATTAAAAAAAAAATAATGACCGGTAAGTGTGAGGCAATAACACAGAAGCTAAAACCACCGTATTTAAATAAATCTTTGTCATAAATAAATATTTTTCTTTATGAATCCTTTAATTTTACAAATTAATTTACTATGAAAAATCACAAAAAAAAAATTATTTATTTTCATGAAATTTTCATATCTAATGAAATCATTTCCCCTTTAACATCCTAAAAGTATGCTTTAAATTTTGATCGTTAACTTCCTTTGCATGAGAGCTTTTTGAATGGGACAAAAAAACTATTGATAAGAGAATTGTGTGTTAAATTTATTATTTTGAAAACATATTTTTTAAAAATTATATATTTATTTTTTATCTTTATAGAAATTGTATTGACGTCCTTTAAGAGAACCCCCCATTCTCAATTTTTTTATTTTTAAGATTTTAAATGGGCTGGATTATTGACTTGGCACAACAATTAACAAAATGGCGGAACTTTGGATTTTTTTTTTTTTTTTTTGGAAAATCGCCTTTTTTGACCGCAAACTAAATTCAAAAATAAGGAAGATACAACAAAAACATAGAGAACTACACAAAAACAGAATAGCACTCTCTCAGACAAAAGAAACACTTCAACAAACAATGGACGAGAATGACTTTTACAGTTTTATGGAGAGCGAGAACATTCTCCATAATAGCTATAACAACAAGAGAAAAACAATTCAAATCAACAAATATCAAGCACTGATGCAAAAACAACAAAAAGAACTTAACATAAAACATAACAATGAGTGGTTTACAAACAACACTAACACAAACATACCTAACGATGTTCAGTGGCTTCTTTCGTTGGGACCAAAATATGCATGTCCAACAACAAAAACAACATTCCCTTTATTAGACGTAATAGCAGAGAGCGAGGAATGCGTACAAACATTGAGTAACAAAGAAGATCAGGAAAACGCGAGAATAAAACTAGTCTCTCTAATTGACGACCACTTACAACGGACAAACTTGAGTATAAGAGATAAGATGATAATTGACACAGTGGGTAGAACAAAACAATTTTTGAAACAAAACAAAGATGTTTTAATATTGAATGCGGATAAAGGGGGAAAAACAGTGGCTATGTACAAACACGACTATGGAACAAAAATGAAGGATATATTACGAGACATGTGTACATATAAAAGATTAAAACGGGACCCAACATCTAATTTACAAAACAAAAATAATAAGCTTACCGAAAAATTATACGGTATGAACATTTTAAATATATATGAGAAAAACAAAATAATGACATACACAGCAATTGCACCACGAATTTACGGACTACCCAAAATACATAAGGAAGGAATACCACTTAGACCAATATGCTCATCCATTAACTCCCCAACATATGAGCTCTCAAAATACATAGTGGATATTTTAAAGAATTTAACTAAAGATTCTATATATAACATTAAAGACGCCGTTGAAATGAAAAGAAAAATTAAAGATATAAATATTGACGAAGACGAAGTTCTACTATCATTTGACGTTATCTCGCTATTTCCTAGTATACCTATAAATTTAGCATTGAGGACAATCACGGAAAAATGGAACATAATTAAGGAATACACAAAAATACCACAGGACCTCTTCATCGAAATATTGACTCTTTGTATAAAAGACTCAAGATATTTCATATATGAGGACAAGGTGTACGAACAGCGAAAAGGACTTCCAATGGGCTCTCCAGCGTCACCGATTATTGCAGATATAGTAATGGAGGAGTTATTGGACGCTTCAATGGAGAAATTGACAAATAAACCAAAATTAGTTACGAAATATGTAGACGATATACTTTGCATAGTGAAAAGAACAGAGATCGAGAATACATTAAATATCCTGAACTCCTTTGACAAACATGTGCAATTTACGCACGAATTGGAAGAAAACGAAAAATTGCCTTATCTTGACGCAATAATAATCCGACAGGGCCAAAAACTAACAATAGATTGGTACCAAAAGCCCACCGCATCTGGACGATTAATAAACTTTTACTCTAAGCACCCTAGACGAATAAAAATAAATACGGCCACAAACTTCATCAACAGAGTACTTGATATTAGCGACGAACAATTCCACCAAAAGAACAAAGAAAGGATACGTAATATACTGAGGAAAAATGATTTCCCACAGAGAACTATTGACGAATTACTAAAAACATCCAATCACAAGAACGGGAAGAAGAAAGAAGAGGAAAAAGCATACAAAACATTGACTTATATACCTGGACTGTCTGAGAGATTACGTAATTCCAATATATATGACAAAAACAATTATCAATTAGCCTTAAAATCGAAGAATACCGTCAATAGCCTGTTCAGCAAAATAAAATCAAAAATTAAAAAGGAAGACAAATGCAATGTAGTGTATAAGATAAAATGTAATGGGGACAAATCCAACGTATGCCAAAAGGTATATGTTGGTACAACAAAAACTAAACTCAAGACTAGACTTTCTGGACATAAGTCAGATCAAAATTCAGACAAACCATTAGAGCAAAAAACGGCGCTTGCTGCACATTGCACAAAAACTGGACATACACCGAATTTTAAAGACGTGGACATATTGACACAAGAAAATAATTATAAACGACGATTCACATTAGAAATGTTAAACATAATTAATGTACCTAACGATAGAAGAATGAATTATAAGACTGACACGGACCACTGTGCACATATTTATAGAAACATAGTTCATAAGCACAGACGAGAAAAAAGAAAAACTTAGTTTAGCATAGACGGTGATGAAAATCGGTTGCTTTTCTCATAAAAGTAAGATCTGTGCAATACAATTAAGTCTATACCTTTAAAATATTTGCATGTTTTGTAGTATTTCCCTGAAGATGACTGCCGAAGACAGTCGAAATATTGGAAAATAAAAATAAACAAAAAAGAAAAACATAAACAACGAGTTTTTCAATTGACCTAGAGCCAAAACAAAAATCCACAAGAATAAGGAAGATTTTCACCGATTGACTTTATCCTAGTTCATACAATAGCTATACACTGACAGAAAACGTACCAAAATTTGAAATCGATTGGGTTATTAGTTTTTGAGTTATCGTGCCCGCCATTCGCTTCGAGAAAAATGCGTTTAAAGTTTGAGAATCACTCTTGCCGTCCCTTGATGCTGACACAATAAATCGGCTATATCTTCAAGAGTTCTTCAGATTTTCAGTTGAAATTTTGTAGCCTAAAAGTATGCTTTAATTTTTGAATGCTATTTTCCTTTGTATGGGGACTATTGAGTTGGAATAAAAACCATTGTTAAATGAATTCGAAGTTGATTTAAATTAAACATATATTGTGTTTGTAGCTCTATGCTATTGTGCCTATTGCCACATTGTTGATATGCTTCTGCCAAAATCTGCCAATTGCTTTAAATTAATTTTTTTCCTATACAAAAAATAAATTATATATAAATAATAAAATCAAAATATTTTTCTCTTTTTATATATAAATAAAATTTAGCACCATTTTAGATTCATAACAAAGCAGTTTGTCTTATGTGAAAAACAACAAAAAAACCTATGCTCTATATAAAAAAAATAATAATAAAAAAAATAAAAAAAAATAAAATATAAAAAATATTATTATTGAAATATTTGAATTAAAAAAATATATTTTTTTTTTTAAATTACTACCCTTTTTTATAATTTAAAAAATATGGTTTTTAATTACTACCCTTTTTTATAATAAAAAAATTTATATATTTTTTTTCTAAGTAATCTACTACAAATATAAATGACTATTGAATTCGAGTGATGTAAAACAAAAAATATGAATGGCACACAATGGAAAATTCAAACGGGTTTCTAAACAAAACCAACTACATTACAAAAAAAAAATCGACTACAACTATGAGTTAATAAAAAAAACAGGCAAATTTGTTTAT